TTGTATATATATATAAAGAAATGTATTTAACAATAAAACTAATTTAAAGGAAAAATAAATAAGTACATATTTTGTAGCTTGAAAATATTTATGTTTTGAAATAATTAAATTAAATATTTAATTATTTAAGTATATATGTATATCGAATTAGTAATTAAATTTATATTTTTAGAAACAAATATCCGATTCCTTTCCTGATTTTAAAAGGCATTAAAGAATCATAAATAAAAATGTTTAAAAAAGCATATGTTAAAACACATGTTTAATATATCAAAGCACATATTATAAAGACAATTAACAGAATCTTTTAACGCATATTTATGTACATCCAACAAAAGAAATCGTACATCGTCTTAATTTATTGTTCCCTTCCCTATTATATTGTTTTTCATTTTTTTTTTTTTTAATTTGTTACGGAGATCCGTGTAGTAATGAGCCATGTCTGAAAAAATGTGACGTGTACAATGTTCTTTATCTTAAATCACAAAACTTCCTTAAATGCTGACTCAATATTCTTTAAAGAACCACTACATTGAAAGGAAAAACTATATACAACCGACGTGGAAAAAGGAAACTTTATATTTATTCAGTATAGCCCACCACTACTATTTCGTTTCCATTTTCTAAATCTACTTTCTTTCATAATTTAAACAGAGCTGACCTGGATAGATGAAGTCAATGAATCTGCTTCATTGTGTGCTCTTAAGTTAATTGTAGTCTCCTTATTAGTATTATCTATGTCTCCGCCCAACGCGTGACGTTCACCATCGATTAATGAAACATTAGCATCTACTGTAACTGAATTATTTTCTACGCTAGTATTCTTTTTTCTGATTGAACACCCATTTACGTTTCCATCAAGCTCTGTCGGTTCACTATTTAACATTGAAGAACTACCTTTAATACTCTCTTTTGAAGTCGTCTGAGATCCAAGTTTCTTTTCTTTGTCTGAGACACTGGCATGTGCATTTTTAGCCACCTTGCCATCCTTTTCCCTAGGCTTTTTCCCAAGAACCGGAAAATTCGCGATTTTCGACGCAGTTTTCTGATCTTTCGATTGTCTCATCGAACCAACTCTGTTTGGCTCTGCTGTGTCTTCTTCACTGATTGATACAAGATTACTTTTACCTTCTCCACCGGAATCTTCTTTCGTAACTTGAATCGGTATGTCATCTACAAACAGAAAAGGGTAAAATAGAAACATGTTATTATGTTTTGCTAAAATTATACCAAAGTATGTATATATTACTCGAAAGTATATACATATACATTACTTTGTTTAAATACTGTGGAAGAAGCATATAAAAAGAATTATGCATTTTGTGTGAAGCCTAAGATAATATAAAACACAATTATAAAATTATATTTGCATTTTCTTCGTCTAAAAATTCAGAAATATCTCTAAGTCGTTGAAGATATAAAAAGAATTACAAATATGTTTAGCATGGAAGAGAAAATTATGATATCATGTGAAATTTTAAGATCTGCTTCTAAGAAAAATTGCACGGTTTGCTATTAAAAATATCTTCTAGAATTTCGTAATCTCTTCTGTATGAAGAGATTAGGCTTATGAGATGTTTCTGTACATCTAACTGTAAAAAGCACATACACACACTACATACTATTATTATACAGACAAATTTCTGTAAATTAATTTATGCACAAATGAAATGACTTCGGCTAATAAAAGATAAGAGGAGAAAAATGAGTGGATTGGAATAAACTTGCATTATTATATATAAATGCAATAGTCTGAACACAAACAAACATGCCAAAACTTCATGCAACTGTCCATAATGTGCATCTGACTATATGAATGTAGTATGATCAGGCTTATGACTGTTTCTTCTAGGAATGACCATGTCTCTGAAACGAATTTATAAATGAATACAAAAATCACTGCTAATTGAACTGCTTAATATTGTATAGTGTAGGAGCTAATCTGTCGCGTGTTTATTGAAGAAAATTTAGTGATCCTAAAGTGCTGAAACTAAACCACTAATACCATGTATTTGTTGATAAAGCAGTAGTTGTACGATAATTCAATGATTTATTTCCGTCCATATATACATTTTCCATCGATTCATGGATTATTTCTCCCAGAACTTGCTCTTCCAAGACACTGTACAAATGAGAGCCAGAATTGATTTTATTCTCTCCACAAGCAGATTCGCTACATTCTTTCTGCTCCCTTCTCTTTCGAAGATTCACTTTCACATTGTGATCTTCATTGTGTTCAGATTTATTTCTTTTCATATGTTCTTTCTTCCTCCTGGGAGAGGATTTATTAGGTGAAATATGAGCACTGCACATACTTCCATGTCTAGAACCCTCCAACGAGGAAGTAGAACTGACTTGTTTTATTCTGTCGGTTTCCTCATTTACTGCTGAGACTCGAGATTGCTTTGTATGCCAAGGGAACCAATACACACTGCTGGAGATTGATAGTTGACGTTGATCACTTTCAAGTTGAGTAGTTCTGTCGTGTTCAGCCGCGAATAACTTCTCATCCAGATCGTCTAATGACATATGTTTATAACCAATGCACATTTGCTGAATCCAGATTAGCTTGTGAAATGTGTTTATGATTATGCGAATGCTTGAACACACTTATAATTTGTGTGTTAACAACACACCTCCCATTACGCAAAATAAACATGTGAAAACACTTTTCACTAGTATAAATACAAAGGACTTTTAACTTGTGTACATAACTAACAATTTTGATCTATGCTAAATCCTAGACATAAGCTAAAATATATATACATGTACAATTCTGCATGCGAAATGAATCATATAATGTACACATACTGTATTCATGCACTTTCGAGTCTGTCTTCATAGGTTTTGTATCATTGATGTGAAACTCTATCTGAATTTTTTAATCTTATTTACGTCATATTCTAATTTAGTGCATACTAATCATTGTTTGCTATACAATATGAATAATAAGTTAATAACATGCTGGGTAGTCATAAACAATTTAATGAAAACTAGACTGTATACTGTGCATATTTACCAAAAAAAAAAACCCAGAAACATTAATGATATACTGGAGACCAGTATTTTGTCAAAATATTTCGTTATAATGATTGATAGCAAATTATAGAGTTTAATTTCGTAAACCTACCTGGTAATTTTTTCGTCCGGAAGGAGGCGTTTGTAATCATGGACTTAGATACTGTTGCAGTCGCACTTGGTGACAATGCAATGCTTACACCAATGGATCCATCGCTAAGTTGACCTGAAATAACGAAATTGTTTTTTGATGCTCCATATTTATTACTAACTCTACAATATTTTGATCAACATTCAATTCATCATTCTTATACCTGATGGTCCAGAACTGGCAGAATTACGTATAGCGTTTGTGACTAGCATGACATCTGGGTACGCTTCATAACATGCTCGATTGTGAATATCTTCCACTGCTTGTGTACCTAAGTACCAGCAGTCATTGTACCTGCAATCATATATTAATCTTTATTGAAAGTGCTTATCTTTATCCAAATATTTCATATCTTTTTGAGAAGAAGAATAATTAATGGATAAGACAATTTAAAAATAATACGTACATAGCAAAATATACAGCATGTAAAAATTCAAGGAGAAATTGACTTGATACAGGTATACGAGGTAGTAGCCTGGGAACAAAACTAGACTCGCTTCCATACGATGATCTTTGATGATGTCCTGGTTTCATGAATCCTTGAGTGACAAGTCTGCAATGTGATATTAAATACATTATGGTGCCTCTGTTAAATAAACAAGATCAATTTATATTAATTTAATTTTATCTTACTTGGTTGCAACTTTGCATAATTGTTCTAAAGCAAATTTATTTATATAACCAAGTTGTTGATTATAAATGAAGAGAAGAGCAGTCATCACTTTTAATCTGTTCTGTGCATTCAACGTTTCTACTTGATGCAGCGGTCCCCAGCTAACTAATTTTGTATTACATTCTTCAAATCTACGCACAGCACTTTCTGTTAAGGAAGCAGGTGCTAAACTTGCAGGCTATATAAAAAAAACAAATATATGTATCCTAAAATAATTATTTTATTGTTGTTTTCAAAATAACACATACCTCATGAAATATAGACAGCATGGCAAGAGAGGGTACTCTAAAAGAAATTGCTTTTTGTTGCCCAGTTTTGTCCACTATTTCTAGATTATACAGTCCAATCAATAATGTTTCCACAGACCGGCAATTCTGTAAAAAAAAAATATTTTATGAAGTAAATACATTAATAAAGATTCAAAGTGTGTACATTACGAAATACTAATATTATAGTAATATTATTATACTTATATGAACATAATGAGCAATTAAATAATTTTATTAATAACTTAAGTTCTTTTAATTATGTAGGATACAAAATCTACATACTTGATATTATTTATTTCTAAAAATACTATTATAAGTGAAATAATGGTCTGTCACACAAGACTATAGATTGTGTTTATATGAACTTGAACACCTGCTCTGCAATTAAGTAAATGATACGACACTTGTTTCAAGCAATTCTAACTTGAATTATAGATCATCTGTGTTATGTAACATTATTATCTACTTCGAAGTCATAAGTTCAGGGAGAATGCAATACTAATGAGATTTATGATTAATCATTATGTTCTTTGTAATTATGCCTTTTTACCTTGATATCACCATGAGCTGCAGAATTTAAATAAATATATACCAATGTCGGCAAAAATTGCAAGGTAAACCTTTGCAGTTCTGTTTCCCGAGAACGGTAAAAATTGTATAACTGATCACATACTGTGTCCATCAACTATAACAAATGAAAAATTCTTTATACATAAATAAATAGAAACAGAATTTGAGTATACACATTAAGTTTTTGTCTTTACAGTTAAAGGTAATTTTTGTTTCTGTGAAAAGACTTTTAACGGAATGTATATAGTTCTATTCAAGTAACAGTGATTTCTTAATTCTTGTACTTATAAAAAACAGCACACAATTAAATTAGAGTAGGAAAGTTCCGATTCATTCTCTTGTACTCAACTATAAAGGATATATATCAATAATATATTACCTGACTGTATTTACTACGCTCTTCCAAAAGCACATAAAGTGCTCTGACAATCTCATTGTCTTGTAATAAAGTTGAAGCAAAAGTGTGAAGCTCTGAAGACGAGACATCCGCACAGTCCGCCAGCCATTCATTTATTAAACTCTCAGTCATTTTTACTTTTCTCTCGCCTGTGTCAATAAATCAGAATCTTGTTGATCAGAAACTTTGGCATCCAGAATGAACCATCTGACACTTTGAAAATCATTACACCAAATTTCAATGGATAGTAGCTATTTACGAACGATTCTTAAAAACGACATTTCGGTGGAGCAACACAGTTTTTTAACTCACAGTCTGTTACCGAATTTATGGGAAATCTATTACGAACTTGACGATCAAGTGACATACTAAGTCGACAATTGTAATAACGTTAAAAATCATTGACATTGTTTAACATCACTGATACGCACAATTTCAATATCTCGAATGTATATCTTACGATCTTGATTAGGATCACCTTCTCATTAACTGATGACAGTCAACATAGTTAAAAATTAGTCGGAATCGTCCTGGAATACTTTTCAATTACCTCCATGTCTTGCCCCAACGACACTCAATTCTCAATTGTGAATCTGACACTTGTAACTACAGCTTTCCCTTGTTAGTGTCACGTGACTTGAAAAACTGGACGAGACGTTATCAAGTAGTAGTCGCTATTTCTTATTGATTCACGACTCGGAGGTAGTTCGTAGTTAGGAACGATGAGGAATGTTATTGGACACGCCATGAGATTGAGGGGCTCGGAATGAGATGCTATCAAGGGATAATTTTATATATGTACTGTGATCTGTGATTGAATGCGCAGCATAGTTACGTTACATACAAGGCGGACAGCATAGATAAATACATATGTATTTATAGACGATAACAGTAGCTTTATCATTAATATTGGTTAATATGGTGAGTCAGCTTCACACGGGTGTACATACAGTAATCAGCCAAATTATCAACAGTCGCTTTTGGCTGACAGTTTGAGCGTTTTGCTACTACCACAAATGGCGCTGTACGAACCCCGAAATAAGCTTCGCTTTTTCTCCATACGAGGCGCCACCACCGTCTGCAATACAGTAGTGGAATTTACTCCTGCACCGCTAGGCCGCAGCTTGATCCCTTAACGAGAGTCGACGTAGAAATTTTCTTTGTTCCGATTGGCTGACGATTCACTGCTAAGACAGAATTCACCGCGGATTGGAAGCACAGTATAAATGGAGGGTAAAATATGCGCGCCAGCTTAGGAAGTAAGAAAAGTGTGCACGTGTAGGTCTCATTACTGTAATTTTTACACGTGTTCATGGGTTTCCTCAAAGTCTTCTGCTAACTAGGTTATCTGCGGTCTTCGTCTGAACTTAAAAGTCTTCTTTTCATAGCCTTGGTCGCTTTAGCTTTAAGATCAGAATCAAAATGTTGACGAGGAACGTAAAAAAAGACGGAGTAGAAAATAATGTAACTTGAAAGATTGAGAATGTTACTGGTGAAATTGTATAATTTTATAGACTTTGTTTTATAATTATTAACAAATATTACCTGTTTATTCTAGGTGAGTATTAAATTGTATTCTCTCCGATTTTACTGCATGCCTTTTTTAATCCAAAAGCATCTTCAACAATTAATTGTACTTATTGTAAATTGCTATGATAATTCATTAGCTTTTTCTGTTTATTAAGACATAAAATATATATTTTTCTAAATCTTACGTTATTTTAGAACTATTATACTAGATGGTAATTTAATAAAAGTGTGTTTATAGGTGATATACATGTGTTTACTATAATCAGTTGAAGATGAACACAAAATATCATCAACAAAGACTGCAAACACGCAATGTAGGGTATGTACGTAATGTATTTATTTGTAATATTGAAAATATTATATTCAAAAACGTGATGAATATGTCCAGATTGTATGATAACATGATTGTCCATTAACATGCACTACCAACTGATTTGTGTTCTTTATAATAATGTAGCTTTATAATTGTTAATTAAATATTTATTCAGTTTTCTTCGTTCCAGATTTTATAAGAACCAATAGGAAAAGTGGTCTAGCTAATATAAACGAGCAATGTACTATGGCCAAGAATACGAACACACAGTGTAAAGTATGGACCAAATGCATTTATGTAATATATTACAAATTTCATATTTAAAAATGATGAAACCTTAACCGATTATATGATATTATGATTATTTATTAACATGCACTACCAACTGAGTTATGTTCTTTATAATAATTTAGTGCTATAATTGTCAATTAAATATTTATCTAGTTTTATTCATTGCAGATTTTAAAACAATCGTTGAATGATACTCATTAGGCAAGACGGTGAACGTGTAACTACGAAATTCAAAGTTGAAGTATGATTTACTTATTTGTTTATTCGTTCTTTACAATTAGTGGAAATATTCTGTAATTTGTTGTTTAATGATTGTAATAAACAATTAATTGTGATCCATTAATCTAATTTTCACTTATATTTATTTACCATAAATCGATCCCACAATCCCCCTATCAATTCAGCAAGATGACGTAGCCATGACAAAAAGTTAATAGCAATAAAATCACAAACCATAAGCCTACAATTAAATTTTTTACATGCACGACTGAGTA